TTATATTCTAAATAGTGATTAAATTTTTGCTCTAGTTGCGAAAATTAATAAACATAAAAGATTTTAGGATTAATATATATATTATTCCATAAATCTTTTATAAGACATTTTAATATTATCTTTTATAAAAACTTTTTCCAATTCATTCTGAAAATTATTTGTCAATATGTTTGTAATTACCTCGCTTATAATTAAAACGAATAAACTTGACTAATTTTTATCATTTAAATAAAATGTACAAGTTTAAACTAAATATTAAAACTGATTTTATTTTTTGCACTGATTGGCTCGTTGCAATTGGTATTGAAAACTGTAACTGGTGATTCAGATGTATTTAGATCTAGAAGACTTGCAATAACACCTTTACTAAGCTAAAATGTTGGTTTTAGCAAAAATTATTGTAGTTCTAAAAATAGATAAGTAAAAATGTGAGCATCTAAATGATCATATTCTGATATTGATACTATATCATTGTAATCCCATGTTAATTGTGAACATTTAAAATCACCACACAATCTTGAATAACTTTTTTATATACAGCTTGAGGATAGTTTCATCAAATCATTGATTTGATTTGATTTTATTAAGTTGTATGGAGAACAATAAACGCATCCTAAAAGAAAATTTTCTTCACCAATGATTAGTTTACTCCAATTAGGAGAATTAACTATTATTATTATTATTATTATTATTATTATTAATTACTCCAATGATTAATTTACTTCAATTAGGTTCAATAGACCAGTAATGGAAACTTCAATAGACCAGTAATGGAAACTTCAGAGCATAGAAGATAATTTTTGACTTGTAATACTACGCCTCCATTTTTCTACAGTACAATTTTTTCAAAATGATGTATAACCCCTCAAATAAATTAACGACTGTAGTGTTCACAATGTTTCTGTTACAAAAATAATATCTGGACCATTATTTTATATCCGTAATTCAAATAGAAACCATTTATTTTTAAGCAAAGTTACGTTTGTCTACCAGCATTATATCGAATCATATTGATATTGTTGTAATTAGATATCTGAATGCTTAATAGTATTGACATTTGTAACATTAACTTCTATAGTATTTTAATTTAATATACTTTGATTATTACTTTGGAATGAAAAATCAAAAGGATTGGTTATTTTTAACAAAGGGTTGTAAATACACGATCTATATATTTCAAAGGTGGAATATGTTTTTGCATTTAGTGATTGCTATTGAGTCATCTTAACTTAACAATTTTATTAGATCTAATACCATAATAAAAATGTGGATCATTATTCCTGCTACTTTTACTTTTGCACTTAACCCTCAATTGCTTTTGTAAAATCTTCTGTGCACCTGTCAAGTCTGGATTTAAAAATATGTTTTAAAAATCAATACTTCCATTTAGTTTTCTTGCATTCTTTAAAATTAGATTGCGTGTTTATAGACAATCAAACTTAACTATTACTAGTAGTGGTTGGTGGTTGGTTGTAGTTTGCTTAAATTTTTAGACCTTAACCTTATGAACCTGTTGGTTTGAACATTACTTCTTAAATCTTTTACTTATTTTATTACTTTGATAATTTAACTATTTAATCATCTTTATGTTTATAATTATTTTTATTCATTCATTGTTTTTAGATGACAACGGTAAACTAAAAATAATTACGTTTGTTTTCTTTCTGAATATTTTATACTTACTTTGATAAATACGATTCTTGAGAAATTTTTTTTATCAAAGCAAGATGCATTACTGATTTAGGTTTAACGCAGTCAACAATACACGACAATGTATTACCAGTACTAACAATACCATTATTTGAGCAATTTACCAAACTTCGTAATTTAGCAATTTCATTTTCTAGACTATCAAAGATTTTTAATCTTCTTCTAAATTATTTAAAAACTTTGGCATATAAAATTCGCCGAATGGTCACACACGAGCAGTGAACGCCTGAGGGAAGAAATGAAGTACATTAGAATAAAGGAGAATTATTTATTAGACAAAGCATATTTTGACAGTTGTCATGACAAAAAAAAAAGATTAATAGAGGAATATTTAAAAATAAATAAGACAGGCTATACAATTAAAACAGTACTCAACAATAATAACAATAAAAAAAATTAAAAAAAAATTAAAAATAAATAATAAAAAAAAATATATGAAAATAAAAAAAAATTAAAAAATAAAAAAAATTATTTTATAAATACCAATATGAACTAAAATATACAAGAAATACATAACCAGTCAAAAATTTGTAAAACAAAAAACCATCAACAAATTAAAAATATGTTAACAACAATGAAAGGACTAATATTGGAAAAAAAAAACATTAATGCTAGAGTGTAAACATAATTAGTGTAGTGATTAAGTAAAAAAACATCTCTTCAGAGTCGCGTCTGTTATTACTGGCGTTTCGATGAGGATCAGCATTTATAACTAGTTTATCCCGTCAGACAAACGTCATCGCCACTTATGCTTTACCCCGCGACTTACGCCTATTCTATACTGCAGTAAAAAAGGACTCACTACAAATAGCCAAAACCCAACCAACTCCAAATTTGTAAAGCACCAATATTTTTTTTTGATGATATGATATAAAAAGTATAGATTTACTGAACAAATAAAAATAAAAATAACTAAATAAAACACTTACCGTATTACCAAAAGAAAACATGAAAACAAAATAAATTAAAATTCTAACAGAAACATAAAAATATTAACCAATTTATTTTAAGAAATAAAACCAAATAGGTATTATTAGCATAAACAACCTCAAGATAATCAGAAAGCAGTATACCTCATTAAATTTTTTTTTTAATAAACAAAACAATACCCTTAAATAAACTCTAACGCTGTTATAGATACCTCATTCGAAATATGATAACCATTCAAAAGTGTAGGAAAATGAGTAACCCGCGAAACCCAAAATCATAACAATAATAGAATAATATATGATAGCGAAAAAGAACGTTGCACAAAAACCTTAAAAATGTAAGCGACATTTATGTAAACATTAAATGAAGGATATAAAAATATTCTCTGAATAATAATAAAGATGAAAATTGTGCATGTGAAAATTAAAACAAAGCTGAGTAATAAATGCAAGATAATATAACATGAAAGTTTTTGTAAACAGTAATAATATGAAAATCAGGAGATAAGTAATATATTAATAAATATAGCAATAAGACTAAATAAATATTGTAATAAAACGAGATAATTTTAAGCCAAATGAGTGGTTAAAAAATTAGTTGTGGGTAATATAACAATGATATAAATCGTGATATAAAAACGATCTAGAAAGCGGGAAAAAAAAAGTTGTTAAAAAGTGAAGTTTTCTCTACGGTCCGAATTAAAACTTTGAGACCATATCTAAATCGAAATTTCCGATTTTTCTTTACGGTCCGAATTAAATGTAACTTTGAGACCATAACAAAATAACAAGGAAAAACATACTTTATAAAAACAAGTCGAAAGCCGCTAGTTTATAAGAATCGCTCTTATACTTATATGTAAATTCATATGAATCCTTTAATGAAAAATTCAATCACACATGATAAACAAATATAGATAACATACAAATCTGTATCTACATTTCAACAACATATTTATTAAAAGAAAGTATTATAAAAATAAGGATGAGTTCAAACAAAGATAGTTTATCTATAAAAGAACAAAAAGCATGCAAAAGATGTAAACAGGCTGTATGTGCATAAGGGTGTATAGGTGTAATGTGTAAGTCTGTGCTGTTCATGTCGTTCAGTAGAGTCTTGTATTTTTAGTAACCAGCGTAAAAGATTTGTCTCTGAACTAAACCAAGCCAGCTCAGCCATCCAGAAAACCATGATGGATTAAACACCTATGCATGGATTTATAACTGACTTATGACTAAAAAGCTAGCCCAGGCATCTTCCACAGACAAAAATCTTTTTTCGCGGTGACAGTAATTGCGGTTAGGATAATAGTCGTGCTCGATGACCGTAACACTAACCCTTACGGGCTAGGCCCAATATTATTTAAAAACTTTAGCATATAAAATTCGCCGAATGGTCACACACAAGCAGTGAACGCTTGAGGGAAGAAATGAAGTACATTAGAATAAAGGAGAATTATTTATTAGACAAAGCATATTTTGACAGTTGTCAAGACAAAAATAAAGATTAATAGAGGAATATTTAAAAATAAATAAGACAGGCTATACAATTAAAACTTAACAATAATAACAATAAAAAAATTAAAAAAAATAAAAAATAAATAATAAAAAAATATATACATAAAAATAAAAAAAAATAAAAAAATAAAAAAAATTGTTATATAAATACCAATATGAACTAAACTAAACATTTTTTTTACCCTGTCATCGAAATCTTTAGATGAAACTGTTGCCATTTAATTTGAATATTGTCCTAGAACATTCATTTTGCAGAACATTCATTTTACAAAACATTTATTTTACAGAACATTCATTTTACAGAACATTCATTTTACAGAACATTCATTTTACAGAACATTCATTTTAGTCGTCAAACCATCTATGATTTATTTGAGAGCTACTGTACTTTTAATTCTTGTGTTATAGTTTTTTTATTACACCGAGACTAAAAAGTTTTATAACACAGAGACTAAAAAGTTAATTATATAATTATAGAGTAAAAGATTTAATAAATAGTATTGCTTTTTTTTCGGAAAAGAACTTAAATAATGCGAGGCTTCATTGTTATTATTACCAAGTGGGTAACCTAATGCTACATATAGAGTTAGGTGACCGACTTGGTAATAATAAGTATTTCTTTACTTGCTAATGATAAGTAATAATAAAGTAGTTTCCAATAAAAAATAAATATATATATATAGCATGTAACTAAATAATAACTAAGATGAAATAAGATTTTTCCACATTTCTAGCACACATTTTTGAAAACTACGATTCATAATAGAATAGATAAAAGGATTTAGTACGCAGTTTAAACAAGCGCTCATTATTCCAAAAGTTGTCACTTGAAAGCCGCTGCTTTTATTGTAATAAACGCGGTACAATGCTGCAACAAAAAATGGTGTCCAACAAAAAAAGAAGCTTAACACTAAAATCATTAGCATTTTTGTAACTCGAATTTGCTTTAAATTTATTGCAATAACAACCATTTGACGCTTTTCTATTTTTTTTTTCTGCTTCAAGAAAACTATTTTGAATCAAAGGGAATTTACTATCTGCCGTAGTGGTTTCTTTATTCTTATATTTAGAAAAGTAAATTGTAACTTTTTTATCGTTTAGTGTTTCGTTTCGTGCTTGTTGTGGAACTGATGAATCAGGTGCTTGCTCAAACGTCGATACATTTTCCGATTGCTCAGAATATTCAATAGAATTTATATTACTTTTCAACTTGGTTTTTTCATGTTTGTTTAACATAATAAGTATGCATAAATATAAAGTAGTTAAAAACACCATAGGCAATACATAAGCGATAACACCGAGAAAATAAGAGTATTCTTTTGATTTTTTTACATCAACATTACAAAAGTTAGAGCCTGATTTGAACCTACTCCAACCAATCAAAGGTGGAAATGAAGTTAAAGCGGAAAATACCCAAACGCTAATGATGATTATATTTGTTCTTTTCTTAGTATAAGGTATTTTAATATCATTTGCTTTAGCAACGTTTAAAAATATGTTAATGCTAATCATAACAAGAGTCCATATCGACGTTGTACAAAACAGTGAATTCAAGAAACCTACTAAATCACAAACAAAACTTTCTAGTAACCACTTTTTTGCAATAGTAGTAATTATGATAGTTGGAATTCCGCACGCAGCAAAAAGGAGATCTGTTATTGCCAAATTTAAGACAAAGTAGTTTGGTACAGTTTGCAGTTTTTTATATTTATGTATAGCAATAATGACAACCAAATTACCAATTATGCCAAACAAAACACATAAAAAAAGGTACACAGATTTAATGGAGACTATTTCTTTAGAAGTTTCTATAGTTTTATTATCAACAAAAGCCATTTTAAAAGCCTTTTTTTCAAGTGTTGATATTTTCATGGTTCATGTTTTCGTAAAAAAGTCCAATGCAATTCGCGTGTAAAAAAAAATATATAATGCTTTAAAATGTGTTTAAAAGTAAAATATAAATGCGCTATAATGTGTTTTAAAGGAAAACTTCAATTAACATTTCTTTATCTAATAATCCGCCTAGAAAACATCAATGTTTTAATGCCCCCAGAAAAATTGCCAGAACGAATTATGTGTTAAAAATCTACATACAGTAAATTAATACAAATAAAAAAACTTATATAAATTAGGGCATAGTTTGTTATGTTAATTAATAAAAATGCTAATTTGTTAAATAAAGTTTTAAAAAAGGAATTTATAATATTAAATTCAAAAAAGCGTGAGTATCGCGTATTAAAACAAAATCGTAAAATATTTTAATGCTTACTATAATTACTTAATACTTTAATTTTTTTTAGTTTTTGTTTTTTTTGCAAAAACCATTTAAACGGTATGAAAAAATAGTTTGATAAAACAATATATAGCAAAATTTGAGACCTGGTTTTAGGCAGAATAATAGGTTTTTTGTGAAAATGTAGACGTTTTTATAATTACTTGTCACAAAAACTGTTTTTACTTAAGTCACATGATACAAACAACGTTAAACTCATTCTAAAATTTAAATTAAACCTTATTGCAGGCACGGTTCTAATGAACAAATTTTCGAAATTTTAAAAACTTTCGAAATGCCTAAAAACATTCGAAATGCCTTTTTGAAGAAAAAACTTAAATAAACATAAGTTTTTGGAGTATGAAGGGACTTGTAATGTGGGATTGGGAGTGAGAATGTACGAACAGTTACAGGAAGAGAATGCAACTTTGCTTAATAAAAAAATTGTTCGAGATTATGTTTTGTTGGAACAAGAGATGATAGCTCGCTCTAGAAACAATCACGAATTTGTCAGAGAACATCTTTGTTGTTTAAATATATAATTTAAAACTAATTGTTTTAATAGTAAAAATTTTTAGTGGAAACTTATTGCTTTTAAATTTCTTTCAATTTTTTACCCAATCCGATATTTTATATTTTGATGTATTTGTTTTTTGCAGAAATAATTTATATATATTTTTTTAAAATTATAAAGTATTATTACATAATATTACATAAATTTATGATTCTGTTACAGTTTTCTTTAATATATTATATATTACCACAGCAAATTACATTTAATTTTTTATATCTAAATACAGGGTGTTCCAAAATCGTTGACCATATTTCGTAGCCCAATAATTTTGGTAAATTTTGTTGGAATGACCTCAAATTTTCACAGCTTGTGTAGAAACGTTTTAAGTTTATGTGTGTAACATTTGGCGTTTCTATTTTTTAAGAACTGGTGCTCACTTTAAAAGAAAAATCATTTTGCATGTTAGAGTATAATCAGATTCAGTCACCGAAGACAGTGCAACGTACCTTCTTTAGAAAATTTGGAAATGTTTGGTGAGTTCAAAATTTGGACCTTTAGTTAATATGTTTTGCGCAATATCCAAGAAAAAGGTTTATGGGCCATTTTTCTTTAAAGGAAACGTGAACGGAGATATTTATCTTCAAATGCTTCAAAATTGGCTTGTTGATCAACTTATAGAAAATGAAGACAAAAGCTTCAATTTTTAGCAGGATGGGGCTCCACCTTACTGGAAGCTCACTTTACAAACCTACATCAATGAGGTTCACCTGAGATTTTGTTCACAGAAGAAGACGACTTGCTTCTGAAATGGCCACCACGATCATCCAACCTTTCTCCGTGTAATTTTTTCCGCTGGAATTATGTTAATGGACTAATCTTCGTACCTCCTCTTCCAGCAAACATTGTAGAACTGAAACAGAGAATTACAGCTGCACTGGAAACTGTTACCGAAGTCATGCTACAAGGAGATTAGCACGAGCTTACCGACTAGGCATTTTTTTTTTTAATTTTAATGTGCAAATTTAATTTTTAAATTAGCTGGAATACGGAAAGGGGGGGGAGGGGTTAAGCAATTTTGAGATGATTTGTTGCAGGTACGGCTCCCTTTAAGTAATAGACCATGAAACGTAAATTTAGAAATAAATGTGGGAGCCGATATTTTGAAAATCAATATGATGAGTATTATTTGTTTTATAACAAATAAGTTTTATTGAACATCTTCTGTTAAAAATGCTTCAGACAATGCAAAAATTAATACAAATTTATATAAAAAATTTATAAATATTTTTTAATGTTTTAATAGTAAATTTAACTTTGTTTTTTCAATTTAAAAACTTGCCTAAACAATAAAATAAAAACAAGTTTTAAATCAAGTAAAGTTAAGTAAAATACTGTCGGAGTAACTACACCTTAAATTAAGAAGTAAGTTTTAGTGTAAAGAATTAAATAATACTTTTAAATTCATAAATAAACTTAAATTTGTTAACAAATTTTAACAAAAATAAAATAACAACAAAAGTGTCAATGAATAACTGTCAACTTAACAAAATTTAAAGTTTGCAGTTTTTTGATAAAAAATATTTTGACAGTATATTACCACGACGTCGTTCCATACCAAAAGAGTTTTTAGCAGGGTTGGCAAAAACCCGGGTTTTTGACCAAAAACCCAACCCAGCTGGGTTTTTGGGTGGGTTTTTGATGGGTTTTTGCTAAAATTTGGTATAAATCTTTAGTAATCAAAGTTTGATTAATTTATAGTTTATAATATAATAAAGCTATTTTTCATTTTTTACAGGTATATTTTCTTAAACAAAAGCTTTATTAATAATCAGGTTGCATTTTTTTATAATATAAATCTATTTTTAAATAGAGTTATCTTTTTAGTTAAATTTAAAATATAAGTAGATAATACGTCTTCAACATGCCAAAGTATCATTCAGGGGGAAGAAATAAGGCTAGTGAGTGGAATGAAGTGACCATATTAAGTGATCAACCAAGTAGAGTAATATGTAATTATTGCAAAGTGAGCATAATTAAAAAAATAGAAAGAGTTAAGATCCATTTGGATAAATGCAGAAGAAAGAATAAACGAAGCAATAATAATTTCCCTGAAGTGTTAAGTGATATATCAGTTTTAGAGTCAAGGCCATCTACATCTGCAGCATCAAATAAGTCTAGCCTGTCTGATGATAATGAGCAAGATGGTTTAAGCTTTATTAGTGATTCTTTTTATTCGTCAATTGTTCAGTCAACTGCAATGACGATGCAACAGCAAATATCTATTTCTAAATTTGTTACTACAACAACAAGTAATCAGAAGGATGAACTGGATTTACAAGTTGCAAGATTTTTCTTTTCAGCAAATATACCATTCAACGTAGCAGAAAATCTTGAATTTACCAAGCTGCTTAAAAAACTTAGACCTGGATATGAGCCACCAAATAGAAAACAGATATCTTCAGAACTCTTAGTAAAGATAAATGAAGAAGTAATCAATTTAATGAAAAATGAACTTGCTGATGATAGTGCTGTTACCCTAATTCAAGATGGTTGGAGTACATTCAGTAATGATCCTATAATTGCTCATACCATCCATAGTAAAAATAAACCTTATCTCATTTCTGCAATTGACACTGGAAGCGTATCAAAAACAGCAGAATATTGCGCTCAAGCTGCTAAGGATGCAATTAAAATTGCTAAAGAAACGTTCAATAAAGATGTAAGTGTTAGATGTTTAACTGCTTTATTTAATGTATATATATATACTATATACATATACATTTATATATATATATATATATATATATATATATATATATATATATATATATATATATATATATATATATATATATATATATATATATATATATATATATATATATATATATATCAGGGTTGGCATTAAAAAACCCGCCCAATAAAACCCAAAAAAACCCACCTAAAAAAACCCAATAAAACCCTGGAAAATCTGGGTTTTATTGGGTTTTTTTAAGGATATTTAATAAGTTTATGAACTATTATAACCAACTTTAACATTATAGTTATAATATTATTTACTAAAATAACTATTAACTATTATTATGAACTTAATTATTATTAAATATTATTATTAACTATTATAACGAACAATAACAGCTATCAGAGCAGGTTTACTATTATTTGAATCATTATTTGGAAATACATTATAACAATTTTTATTCAAATATTTTTATCGATTGAGATTTTTATTACTTTATGTTATTCACCTCCCAAGTTGAATTTAAATGAGCAGTTGTGACCAGAGAAGCCAACACAACAGTCGAGGAGGCTACCTTGTTGTGGTTACAACCCTCTCTCAACTCTTACGCGGTAATGGTGTTGTGGTAGAGCGCTCACTTCATAAGTGATAGGTTCCGAGTTCGATCTCCATCATGTCCTTGGCAGTACCGCGCTCAACTCCTTTCTCTGCGCAGCGGCCTTGTTCGTCAAAGTTCGTGTTTCGGATTTATAGAGTTGAGAGAGGGTTATAACCACAAATAAGTAGCCTCCTCGCCTGTAGTGGTCTTAAGCCTTGAGGATGTGAATTGATTTAAAAAAAAAACTCTTTAACTCGTAAACACGAATCTTTATAAACAAGGCCGCTGCGCAGAGGAACAAGTTTGTTTATTCGAATTTCAATTGAAACTTCAGTTACTACCTCCCATTCTCTAGCCTTCTTTTTCACATTTTCTCATTGACATTTTTAATTATATAGAATAATACTTTTAAATTTAAAATAAATCAATACATATAGATTAAGCGTGAAATTTTTTTTCTATTAGCTTTAAATAATATTTAAAAATCTTTTTCAAAATAATTTGAAAAAAACTATTTTTCAAAATAATTTGAAAACTAGTTTTTTAATAGAAAAAAACTAATTTTCAATATCATTAAACAAAAACACAAAAATTTTTTTTACAGAGACAAAATAAAAATTAAACCCAAAAAAACCCAATAAAACCCAAAAAAACCCACTGGGCCGGGTTTTTTTAAAAAAACCCGGGTTTTTGCCAACCCTGATATATATATATATATATATATATATATATATATATATATATATATATATATATATATATATATATATATATATATATATATATATATATATATATAAGGCCTCATATATATATATATATACATATATATATATATATATATATATATATATATATATATATATATAAGACCTCATATAAATACATATATATATATATATATATATATATATATATATATATATATATATATATATATATATATATATATATATATATATATATATATATATATATATATATATATATAAGGCCTCAACGGAAGAACGATTTTAATAAAATGATTTTTGGGGTGATTTTAATTCGTTGAACTACATGATGGTGTTTTAAAACTTAAAAATTGATTTTCTCAAGACATCAAAAGTGTGACTCTGATCGTTCTTCCGTTGAGGCCTTCATATATATACACATACATGTTTCATTTTTTATTTACGTATTTGCAGTATGCACTGACAACGAAAATAAAATGTCTAAAATGAGAAAACTTTTGCAGGTTGAAGCCCCTAAGTTGATAACATTTGGTTGCTCTGCTCATTTTTTAAATTTGGTTGAAAAGGATGTCTCTCCAAAATCTATAGTAAAGCATATTAAAGCAATTCATAAATATTTTCGTAATCATCACCAACCACATGTATGTATTAAATTCTTTACTTATTGATCATATTCTGTAATACAATACTATGAAATAACACAACTGTGTTAATGATATAAGCCTAATGATAATGATGGCAAAAGAGATCCTAGCTTTATTTTAACAAAATTATTTTTTAATATTTCTTTGTTAAATTTTCTTAAATAAATTTATTATAGGGTTGGTTATTGGAAAAAGGTGGACTGATGCCACAGCTACCCAATGATACTCGCTGGAACTCCCAACTAGATTGTTTACAGACATACATATCTAATTATTCTCTGTACGTTGACATTAGAGGTGAGCATATGGAATCCATTGATCCTTCGATAGGAAGCCTAATTGACAATCTATCAATACAGAGAGAAGCAATAAATTAATATGCACAACTGAAAATTGTTGGTGTTGCGTTAGATAAGGTTAATAAAATTAGTTATTAATTGAATTTATTAAATTTAATTATATTAAGTATATTAAAACCACTTATATTAGGAACAATATCACCATTAACTTTATTTACCTAATTATTAGCAAAATTATTGTGTTTACTGTAGTTGCAAGCAGACGATACAACTTTGTCTGAAGCAGTTGAGATTTGGCAAAGCCTCATACATAATGAAAAATTGGCTTTGTACAAAGATGATATTTTAAAGAGGTTCAAGAAGGCAATTATTCCATGTCATTTTCTTGCCAATTTAACAGATCCAAAATATGAAGGTAACTAAACAATTGTAAAAAACTTAAATTGCATCTGATTAATTTTTAATAAAAACAAATGTAAAGTTTTTATTTAAGTTTACTACTCTTATAACTTTACTTATTTACTTAGGAAGAACATTGGATAGAAGTCAAGAAGAAGAAGCTGAGGAATGGTTGAATGAAGTCTATCCTGAATTTATGCCAGGCTATTATGCGTTTAAACTAAAAGATGCTAATTGTTTCCCAACATATTTATTCAACGATAGTGTTAAAAGCACAACATCAGCAACAACAATGGAGAATTATAGAAATGAAAGAATCTAAGTCTTCCAAATTGCCTGCAAATTTTGCAAAATTTTTACGGCAGTTGCACACTTGTCCAGCTAGTACTGGATCCATAGAAAGATTTTTCTCATCTTTTGGGATTATTTGAAGCAAAATTAGAAATCGTTTAGGAAAAGAAAAAGCTGAAATGTTTGTACGAATTTACAGACATTTAAGATCAAGATGCACAATTGCTGATGACTTTTAGATTACTTTGTTTTAAATGATTAAGCTTGAATATTATTGCTTCAAGTAAAATAAAATTCTTGTTTATGACTTACTAAACTTCATTTTTTGTTGTTAGTTGAGCAGCATCAAATCTTGTGTCTTAATGGAAATTGATTTATGAACAAAAAAATTAAAAATTAGAAATTTAAGACCAAACACCCATAAAGTTGGGTTTTTGGTCGGTTTTTGGTCTTGGGTTTTTGGGTGGGTTTTTGGGTGGGTTTTTGGGTTTGGGTTTTTGGGTACCAACCCTGGTTTTTAGAGCTCTTTGAGTGATAAGAGTAACATACATAAAAGCGTCGCACAAAGATGTGCAGCAAGTGTTGCACAGGGATATGCAACAAGTGTTGCACGGGGTTGTTTAACAAACTTTAGTAGAGAAAAAAACTGCAAATGAGAAGAAAACCATTGAATAGCATTATAATAGATGGAATTTTTAACCCACTTCTATTGACGTAATTTAGATATTGATCAAACTTTTCAAAATAAAACATTGTTCTGGTCAAGTTTTCATTTTCGTTAAGCAAATCATCATTTTAAGACACATCCAGCAATATAAACAAGAGACATCTTTGATTAAACAGTTATAATATTTTGTAGTGTTGGTATTTTGGCAAAGATTTAAGCTGAAGATTCATAAAATAAATTATAAAAAAATTGACAAGAATGTTCTGCATCAGAAATTAACTTGTTAATGTTATATGACAACAAGAGTAGGGGAGAGTATGCACCCATGATCCTAAAAATCTATCAGGCCAACTTACTGAATATATGTTTTTATTTCAATCTCTAAAATAACAGTACATAATAGCAAATTTTATACCTTATTATAATTCAATTATCATTTTTTTACCAGAATATTTTAAGTAGATTTAAAATTATAAAAACTAAGAATGCTCAATTAGGATCATGGGTGCATACCAGTATGCTCCCTTGATCCTACCTATATGCACCATTGATCCTATGTATTTATACTTGATTCGAGATCAAATGTATACCATGATTGTATAAGAATAATTTTTAAGTCATCAAAACAATGTCTATAATAAAAACCAATAAAGTTATTATTAATTTTACTACAAATTTATCTTTCTTAAAAAAGTAAAAATTAATGAAAAAAATGTTATTTTTTACTGAGACTCAACGTTTTTATTTTCATTACTTTCAAGATCAAGTTTTCTTTTTCTTGTCATGAAGATCTTATTTTGTGTTTCATGTTTTTTCTTTTTTGACTGAGATTTTTTTTTTATTTCCTGAAGCTTGTTTAAATCATTTTGAACAGGAGTGTCTGTGAGTATTCGAGTACGCTGACGTTTACGTCCTTTAATGGATTTCCTTGATCCAGCTTTTAGAAATGGCCTAATTTTTCTAGACTTGCTTGATGAGAGATATTATTAGAAACACTGGATAGTTGACTTCCAGGGTCAGATATAGACTGAATAGGCAATACACTACAAGCTGAACCAGATGACAGACTTGACCTATAGTTTCAGAAATATTGAACTTTTTAGTTATTTGTTGAACACCTAAAAAGAATGTGCTGCCAGATCCTTGTCTTAACTTGCTGAATCTTTTTCAATTGGGTCTGTGGTAAATTTTCCCAATATACTAGTGTGTTTCTTTTAAAAGTTTTTTGACAGCTCAACAATATCTTTACATGTATAATTTATGGAATGTCCTCTATTAAGTGTAATTTGTTTTATACGTTTTCACTAAATACTCGTTATACGTCATGCCATTTTTTAAAAATCAATATAAACTTTATTTCCTTATCATTTTGATTTCTGATGACAGCTTGTTATTATCATTAAACCAACAATTTGCACCCACACTTTTTACATTTAAAATTTTCCTCCATGTGACAACAATTTAATAAAATCAGCAGTCATGTTTGTATTTAAGATGTTGAGGTTTCAGGACGAAATTATTAGAGCATATTTTGTCAGAAAACATTTTTAGACAGGTAACTCAGTTTGACATGGTCAAACAGAAACTTCAATGAAATCAGAAAGTTTCATTAGATAAATAGATTCATCTTTAAAAAATTTTATTAAATGTTTTCAAAAAGCTGTTTTTTTAACAACAGTTTCATAAAATATAAGTTCTTCTTTTTTTATTGTGAGCCAATTCTGTTTAAAAACTTTAGCGTAAAATTCTTTGAGTCGTTTTTGACTCAGTAGACAAGGTTTTCAGGAAATCCAAGTTTTAAAAAAACGCTTGGTCGTTCTCTTTCTTTTACTTTAACTTTTTTTCTTCAGTTTTCTGGCCAGTGTAATTCGCAGACTACAGTGTTGCTTTTCACTTTTAAATTTTTGTTAGGAATACATTTTATTGTAGTTTATCTTATATAATCTATAAACTGATGCTTCATACTCGTTTTACTTTTGTTTCTGTGGTAAGTGATTTGTAGAAAAGCTATAAACACAGCAGTTTTCACCATTTTTTAACTAAGTAAAATAGATTCATAAACTAATCAAGTCTTTTAATACCTTCTGCGTTCATTTTTCAAAAGTTAATATCGGCCGCCATATTTTATTTTAAGTTTGGCGTGTCACGGCCAGTTACTTAAAGAGCGCCATGGTTATAGGGAGAGGAAGTATTCAAATTCATGACGTAACATCGTTTTTTCAAGATTCAAATCTAAAAAAGCTGTTTGGTTTCTCTTTCTAAATCTGTGATGGTTTGTCATTGTAATTGGTCTGTAATGTTCTCTAATGGTAATGTAATAGTTTTTCTTTCCAAATCTGTAAAAGTTATATGGTTGTTATGCTAAACGAACGTGCTTTTTAACTCAGTTAAAACAAAGAAAAAATTATAATAAAATTAAATGATGCCTCAAAGAGAAATTAGCCAGATATTCTTAAGTTTTAGCTTGAATAATAGTATCTGTGAGTAATATTTAAATAGTGTAGCGGAAATTTGCTCTCGTTCAAAGGATGTCAACATTGAAGGATTTTTGAAATTTAGAGAAGCTGATATTTTTAATCTGAGAGTAACAGTTTTCACTGAGATCTTAAAAAGTTCTGATATGAATCAATTCTCTTCTACCAACATTACTCTTTAAGCTAAAGATCCTGTAAGAAAAAACTTTAGAAAGTGTTATAAAATAACGAGAAATCCCTTTTAAAGCAGATACAACAATTAAACCCAATTACGTTAGTCATAAAAAACTACGAAGATGTAAGTGATTGCATTATTGTTGGAGATTTTCAATCATATTCCGAAACAGTTTGCGATTCTAAGAATTTTAATAATAAAATATGCAACAAATTCTCTAATCATCTAACTAATTTTATTAAATCAAATAAGCTCTCTTTAATCGATATAATCAGGGGCGCTGGTCCAACATACGCCTATCAACATAAAACTCTTTCTAACTCATCGTATATCAATCACATTGCAGCTTTAAAAGAATCGTCCTTATCTTTTATAATTACCGAAATTATTTACCATTTGCCTTTTAATTTTAGTGATCACTTGCCAATCGTTACAAGTATTGTCGTTACACATACTAATCTATCAACCGTAATAAATAGCATAATGGATAAATATATTCACATGCCAAAAAATGCTTTGAATAAAGAAAACTTTGTTAAATTTTATAATTAAAACCTCTCTATAGCTTTTAATAACTACATCTTCAATAAAGAAAAAATTGAACAAGAATTAAAACAAACATTCAAAAAAATCAAAAACGTTTCTATTTTAGCAGTTAAGCTTTAAACAACACAAAATCTGCAAATATTACAAATTGTAATGGACAACGGACCTTAAAAATTGCAAAGAAAATTTTTCATTTAACAATAAACAATGACGAAAATTTAATTACAATAAAACACAAGAATGCATTGAATACAAAAGATACATCCTTGCACGTAAAAACTTCCGTAAAGCGGTTAAAGCAGCTCATAACAAAAAGATCTACAAAAAAACTGTATATATTGAAAATCTTTAAACTGCAAATCGTCAGAAGTACTCGAATAACATTGATAAATTCAAAACTAAAGCAATTACTTGATTATTTACAATTAATAAATCGCAAAATATAAAAAGTATTGTTAAAGAATTTAGAAATCACTTTTAAACTCTACTTAATACGCCTCTTATTACAAATAATAACCATAATCCTAATCAAATTCCACCTTAAAGTAACGAGTCTTATTCGCTAGTTATTAGTTAACAAGCCTTATTTGATATTTCATCAGCTGATATTATAAATTGCATCTCACAATTAAATAGTAATAAGTCCCCAGATAGCTGTGGGGTAAGTGCTGCACACCTTAAAAACTCTCATTACGACAATCTTTTTTTTGGGCCTTGCTAAATTCTAAAAGAGTATTCGACCAAATGGAAAGGTACCAAACAATTAACTTCACCAATTATTCTACTTATTAAGTCATATAAAAAATCACTTAATAATCCTGATAATTAGCGAAGAATTAGTGTTTTAACTATCTTTACTAAACTTCTAGAATATCTAATACTACTTATATGTCCTTGTATAACAGATAGCCATTCCCATCATTTTGGTTTAAAAAAAACAGCTCTACACTCTACGTAAAATTTTTATTGAGCGAAACTGTTAAGCACTATAAAAACAATAACCTTTATATATGCGCAGTTTAGATGCAAATAAAGCTTTTGATAATTGCAACTGGGATATGCTATGCGAGAAGCTTTATTTTCAAAAAAAAACATCCGTTGTCTGAGAACACACAATTTTATCGCTTTAT